GAGGAGGAGGAGGATGGGGAGGAGGAGGAGGAAGAGGAGGAGGAGGAAGAGGAGGAGGAAGAGGAGGAGGAGGAGGCGGAGGAGGAGAGGAGGGAAGAGCAACATACTGGGTAAACAACTCAGACGCATGCTCTTCACAACACAAGCACCCAGACTGTTGTTGTTCCCGCTGCGGGCTGCTTGTGTGCCCAGCGCTGGCAATTAGGAAACGTATGTTACCGTCATGATTCGGCGGTGGACAAACCTCCTTTTAGCAAACATCCCCTTACTGAAAACGGCCTTGGACCGAAACCGACGGACCTGGACCCGCAAAAATGAGTGCCGCGACGCCCTCTCGCGAACCGAAAACGGCGAATTCCTTAATCGACGCGTCAGGGTAGGAGGTTTGTCCACCTCCGAATGATTTCTTCTCGCGACGCGACTGAAAGGTCAGGGTCGCCCTGGGGAGCTATAGGCTCACCACACAGGCGTACAGACGACAGGCAGGCACTCCAAGCGGCTCACCCTCCCGACGCCCTGCCAGTAGGCCAGAACTGCGCGCAGCGCATCGACTGCAGGCCCAGCGCACCAGCATCCGGAGAACTCGGCAGCTTTCGTATGCAAGGGTGGTTCAGGCGATGCCTTGTCAGCTCAGGCAAAAGTCGGCGTGCTACGGCATCATGCGCGGTCGGATCTAGCCTCCTTTCCTGTGGACGGATGCGTGGTTTGATGTGGGAAGCGTGGCCTTCCTCCCGTTCGCGCCTCAGCCAGGAGCTTCGGCGGGTATGCGCCACGTGTTTTCCCGCGGCAGTGAGTCAGCGGGTGGATATCCATGATTCAATCATTGGGGCAGGGGGGCAAGAGGACACGCCTCTCACCGTGAATGCCGCCTGGAAGGCAACTGCTGGCTCTCTCTCTCTCTCTCTCTCTCTTTCTCTCTCTCTGCGCTTGCCGCGCCAGCGGGGCAACGCCATTGACACGGGCACGTGTTGCGTAGCTACTGAAGAGAACAAATCTCCACAATCCGTATCCAAGATCTGCTCACTATCTATATCCAGAACGTTGGGAACACAACCTCCGCGACACATCTTCTGCTCGAGTTGATGTATGGGAACATGGCCTGCGTAGCACTTGCAAGCCAATGTGTGTGCGCGCTCTCATGTAGATGCGATGAGCGTCGCTCAAGTTCGCTCACGCCATATTGAAGTCGGAATCGCTCCGAAGCTCCCAGAAGGGCTCCAAGAGAGCCTCGAGCGTTTCTCAAATGGCATCGCGCACTCCCACACTGGGCCGGATAAGTCTCCAACGAACTCCCCATCGAAAGATCCGCGAATGTTTCGGGGTTGACCCCTGCACCTGCTCAGGCTCGCCCTGGGCCCTGTGTTGACGGCTGCCTCCCATCTCTGTTCCATCTCATGCTGCTACATTCATTTACCGGATCAAATTGCAACTCGCCAAGGGACTTGTTCATGATGGGCCCGGGTGGGGGGTGCTTTTTGATCACAAGCGAAGCGGAAGAGCCGCACGCCGTAAGAAACTCGCAAAGCAGCATGCCACGATCTAGATTAAGCCGCGCGCGCGCATGCGAACTGCGAAGACGCGCAGCAGGGGAGGAGGACCAGGAAGGGCACCAGGTCCAAGTGCAGCGCCAAAATGGCGACGAAGAACAAGCTGGCGTACTCGATGACCGCCGCCGCGTAGTCGAGGAGGGCGTAGGCGTCGTGCAGACGATCCACGGAGAAATCCGGATCGCCGAGAAAGATGGCCCGGAGATCACGTGCGCAAGGACGGCGACCGGCCGCGCGGGGGGGGTACGCGACGGCGGAAACCGCGGCGGCGGAGCAGAGGCGACGCCGGGCGACGCTCCGACGGGTGAGGGGTGCGCGAAGCGTCAATAATTACAATGTTATGTGTTGAACTTCCACCCCGCTCCAAGTCAATGCTCCAGATGCTTCCCAGACACCATCCCGACCAGTTCCCAGAGCCGTGTCCAGCCGTGGTCAAAACGCCGCCCCCCGAAGTCCCCCCAAATCCAAACCACTTTTCATCCATCTCTTCTCTTTCCCCCCTGCTCCCTCCCTCCTCCCCTTCAGATCATCCTCCCCCGTCCTGTCCTGGCAGTCCTCCTCCTTCAAATGTCGACCCCCCGCCCTCTGCTGGAGCGAAGTCTGGCCAGGAGATCCCAAGGCGAAGCCAGCCGTGTGGCCACGAGGTCCCCGCCTCTCCGGACGTCTCCAGAAGCCCGCCCCCCCCGAGGTCACTGGAACACTCTGGGGGTCCGCGGACGCCTCCAGAGGCACAGAAACCTTGAGATTTTTTCCGTCGGCGGCGAGGCGGAGGCAATCCGCACCAGCGTGGGGCAAATCGGGGCAACCGATCGGCAAATTGTCCGGCGCGCAAGAGAGAGAGAGAGAGAGAGAGAGAGAGAGAGAAAAGCAAAGACTAGGTTGGCCGCGCGAGGGGTGGAGGGGGGGGAGCGCTCTGACGTGGAAGAGTTCCGCGGTGAGGGGGCCAGAACGGCCAGCCAGGGCAGCGGAAACCACGGCAGCAGCCGGGGCCGGGGCCGGGGCGCCAGAAACCTTGAGACACGTCGGTTTCCCATCTCCCTATAAAGTCAGAGCAAGGACTAAAAGCAGCCCATGGGCGGTCGTCGTCGTCGTCGTCGTCGTCGTCGTCGTCGCCATCGTCGTCGTCGTCGCCGTCGTCGTCGTCGTCGTCGCAGCCGCCGCGCCGCCGCCGCCGCCGCGTCGCTCCCCCCCTTTCCCTTGGCCCTCCTCTCCAGGCGCTCCAGCCAACGGTAAATCGAGCAACGTGGTAATCGACTCAAAGGGAAACTTCTTCCCTTTGATCGCTCCCCTGGGCGCCCTTGGAGTGAGTCACCTGTCCCCGGGACTCGGCATTGTTTCAAGAAAGTTCCAGAAAACTCAATTGGCATCCAGGACCGCTAAGACACCCCCAAATGGTAACACATATCTTCCAACGTGCCTCCTAGAAGCCTTTGATCCGCTCCAAGGCGACTTCAAGAGGAGCTTCTGAAGTTCTCCAGACGGCGAAACCATTCAAGCAAATTGTGTATTCCTATGTGCTTCGCTGTCTCACCTTGCTGTTACCGATGGGATCTTCAAGCTTCAAGATGATTCCAAGACGGCCCAACAGGGTCCCCTGAAGCGACCAGGAAGGCTCCAAGATGGCCCCGAGAGAGCGCCCGAGAGTGCAAAGGCCTCCCATGGCCTCTTAGAAAGCCCCACGAGAGCCCAAGGGGGGCCCAAAGAGACCCGTGGCGCACAGGGTCGGCAGCACCGGCCGCAATGCGAGGCGGGGACTTATCCATGTCCACCGTCTGGGAACCGACGTCCTGGTGCACCACCGGGCGGTGGATATGAATATATATATATATATATATATGAATATATATATATATATATATATATATATATATATATATATATATATATCCTCTTCTATATTTTATAAGCCCGGGGGGGGGGAAAACCCATCCCCCCCCCCAAACCGGACTCCCGGGATCTGGGGCTTTGGGACCCTCCAGACGGGCCTCGAAGCGGCCACCGGGCCTTTTGCCAAGCCTTCCCAGCACACCTAGGGCGATCAGGGGGGTCATCGGAGACGTCCCAGAGACCCCCAAGACAGCACAAGAGCGCTCCAAGAGTGACCGACGTGACCTCAAGATGGCCCAAGAGGCCTCCAGGACGGCCCCAAATAGGCCTCCAAAAGCACTCCCAAGAAGGCCCCCCGAGGCAAAAATCATACATGTTCTGTGGGTTTGGGTTAATTTTAGGGTTCTCCTCGTTTCGGCTTCCCGACGCTCCAAGACGGCGGTCTTCTGGGCGTCCGAAGCCGCCTGGGAGGCTCCAAGATCGCCCCACAACCATCCGAAAGGGCTTCCAGGCAGTCCAAGAGAGCCCCAAAACGGCACAACACGGGTCCAAGATGGCCCTCAGAGAGCCCCATGGCGGCCCCAGATGACCCAATGACACCCTACGAAGAATTCCAAATCGTGATTCGGTCGTTCAGGGAAACCGCGGTTGGAGGCAGGGTGGCCCGAGGAAGCCCCCGGAGGCCCCCAGAATACGCCCAGGAGGTCTCCAGAAGGCCTTAAGAAAGCCTGAAACAACTTTTGTGAGGCCCCCAGAGGCTCTCCGAGGAGGAGCCTCCGCAAAAAAGAGCTGAGGAGGATGGGGAGAATGCGCAGGGCATGGCGAAAATAAAAAAGAAGCATGGAGGAAGGAAAACGAATAACATTATTATAGCGGCGATGCCAGAGAAGGCAACCAGGAGTTATCTCTAAATTGTCGCCTTGACCTTCCTGCTATTCCGCCTGCATACCAAACTTCAAGGACCAAGGTGCATGGCGCGCAGCGCCACTGCAATCTTGCGTTTATATATATACACATATATTTGTATATTTATAGATCGATAGATAGATAGATAGATATATAGATATATAGATAGATAGATAGATAGATAGATAGATAGATGGATATATAGATAGATAGATAGATAGATAGATAGTTAGATAGATAGATAGATATATAGATAGATACATATATATATATATTAGATAGATAGATAGATATATATAGATAGATAGATAGATATATACATATAGATATATAGAAATATATATATATATATATATATATAGATAGAAAGATAGATAGATATATCTCGGCCCCCGGGGGGGCCGAAGATGTCCATATCCACCGCCTGCCGAGGCTCCGAAAACTGACCCTCCAGGCGGTGGTCATGTGTGAATTCCCGCCTCGGACGCAAGGCCTTCGCCATTTGCAAGCAGTGCGCGGAGAAGCGAGGGAAGGCGGGAACAGCACGACCCCACAGACAACGCCAACACCCGGGACACCCCCGACACCCGACACCCAAGCCCCATCGAGCCAGGTCCCGCCGCGGAGACGAGAACCCACTGGCCAACGACGGCGGCCCCCCAACTGAACGCCCCCAGACCGAAAGCCTCTTCCTGCAAGAAGCACAGGGCAGCATGCCAGCCAGGCGTGCGCTGCAGACCTCCCCCCCCCCCGCGGGCTCCACGCGCGCGCGTCCGCAAGCGCCCCCAGCGCCGAGCCGCGGTAGTCGTACTCCTGCGCGGCGCCGCCCCCGCCCCAACGCCACCCCCGACAACATCTCCGCCGCCTCCTCCTCCTCCTCCTCCTCCTCCTCCTCCTCCTCCTCCTCGAACAATGGGCTTGCGGGGGTCCCGTCGGCGGGGCAGCGACTCGCTAGGCGACGAGCCCCTACCCAGTGCCAGAGTCCATACGTACGTCGAGCGGGGCTTGTCGTGCCTACCGCGGCATGACTTCTGCGCGCTTCAGCTCCTTCAACTCCTCCACATCCTCCTCCTCCGTCGCCCCTCCTCCCGCGCCCATACCTTCCCCCTCACCCGTCGGGAAGCGTGGGCGCCACCACCCTGGGGCGAGCGAAGGCGGGCGGAGGCGCCCAAAGAGGGCGGGGAGGCGGCGCCGAGGCGCGGGCCGCAGAGGGAGGAGCGGGGCGGGAGGCGTGCTGCCAGGAGCTCCGTCCTCGAACGTCGTCCTGCCAGCGCCGATGGCGCGCATCTGGAAGGCGATGCCCATGTGGGAGACGGCGTACGCCTCTCGGGCGGCGGCGCGGGCAAGGCGCCGAAGGAGCGCGCTTCCCAGGCGCGCAGCCGAGACGCCGAAACGAAAGGACGCCTCTGGTCTGGAATGGCTCAGGGCTCCAGGGCTGCTCCTTCTGCGCTTCCTCGCGCTGCGCGCGCATCCCAGCCGCACCGGGTGCAAACTGCTCCATCTGCAGGTGAGCAAGTACGACTGCGTCCTACACGCGCATGGCATGGGAGATGCCAAAGGGACCATGTGACACCGATCTGGAAGAAGCCGGAGGCGGCCACGGAGACGCAAGGCAAAAAGACGAGAAACACCGTCAGGGTGGCGTCCACGCCAAGAAAGCGCTGCCAGGTGCAACAGAAGCAGGCTTGGATCATTACGAAGACGCCTCTTGTAGCCCCTGGTGGGGCACAGCGAGACTTGGGCTGCACACGTCGCGTGCGCAGAAGCGCGATCGCATACGCTCGCGTCCTGGGCCGAAGTGCGCAGACTGCACCCCCAGACCAGTCGTGGATACCATAAGTAGTCCCAGGCTCTTCGAGCCCAGCCTGTGGCGAGGGGCCTTCGCTGGTGGCGGAGCAAAGTGAACAGAAACGAAGAGCGCGGACACACACACACAGACACACACACACACACATCGTTCGTAACAAGCTACTGCGAGCACTATGTACGTGCAAATAGACATGACTACATTATGGTACATTGGGTGTTAGCACGCCTCCCCAAAAACAAAGTGTCTTGCAACGCAGCCTTGAACTCTTTCGCCTATTGAAGTTCTGACACTGCTTGTGATCTGGGACCCACGCATACACATACATATACCAATACAAACAGCGCCCCCACACACACACACACACACACACACACACACACACACACAACACAAAAAAAAAAAAAACATTACGCATCACAACTTCAGTCGCGCCGACCCTAACCCATACTTGAGGCCGCAGCGAAATCCCCAAGGCAGCCAGCATGGTCCAAAAACGGCGAACGATGGTCACCGCCCGAAGAGCCCCCCGAAACGGGCACCCCTGCAACAAATAGTGATAGTGGTTGCCATTCGTTCCCAGCCCTCCTGTGTATTGGGTCTTGGTTTAAAACTCGCAAAGCCTCGCGTCTCATTCCTTACTCCTCCCCCTCCTCCCCCTCCTTAATCCTCCACCTCCTGTTCTTCCTCCTCTTCCTCCTCCTCCATCTTCCTTTTCGGCGCACGCCTCGCACGTTCGTGGCCCCACAGGGAGCTCCACCGAAGGCTTCAGTGTTTGCGTCCGCATGGTGACCCGCCCCATGCCGGCGCACCCCTCACACGTTTCGTGGCCCCAAAGGGGGGTCCACCGAATGCCCCCGTGGCTGCGTCCGCATGGTGAGCCGTCCCATTACAGCGCACCCCTCGTGCGCTTCGTGGCCCCATTGGGGGCTCCACCGATGAGCCTTATGGTTACGTCCACATGGTAACCCGCCCCATGGAGGCGCACCCTTCACGCGCTTCGTGGCCTCATGGGGAGCTCCACCGAACGCCCCAGTGGATGCACCCGCATGGTGGTCCGCTCCAAGTCTGCTCACCCTCGCAAGTTTCGTGGCCCCATAAGGAGCTCCACCGAACGCTCCAGCGGCTGCGTCCGAATGGTGCCCCGCGCCATTTCGGCGCACTCATCACGCGCTTCGTGCCCTCATAAAGAGGAATGCGTCAGGTTGGTGACCCGCCCCATTTCGGCGCACCCCGTACACGCTTCGCGGCCCCATAGGAAGCTCCACCGAAGGCCCCGGAGATTGCGCCCGCATGGTGATCCGCTCGATTTCGGTGCACCCTCCACACCCTCAGTGGCTGCGTCCGCATGATGGCCCGCCCCATTTCGGCGCACCCCTCGCGCGCTTCGTGCCAGCCCCCGTTTGCGATTTGCCTCTGAGACTGCGTGTGTGAACGGGGCGACGCTCAGAGCGGTTTGGCGTCCTTCGGCGAAGAGCCCACGGGCACTGCAGAACCCCTCAATGGATTATTGTGTAATGAACGGTCGCCTGTACAATCGGCGGATGTTTAGAAAGAGCTGGGCTCTTCGCCAAGATGAATGTTGCATGGCTCATGCATGCTCGCCTTCTCGGTATTCAGACACGACGTGACGACCAAAGAGGCCACCAATATCGCCCAAAGCTGTGCCAAAAGGCGCCCGAAAGGGCCAAAGAGGGGCTTAAAACGGCCCAGGAGGGGCCAAAGACGGCCAAGAAGAAGTGAAGGCTCCAAGATATCCCAAGATGGCCCGCGGAAAAAGCTCTTGACAGCCCAAGCAGGTACAACTAAAGCCCCCAGGCCGCCACTAGACAGTACACCGCGGACCTCCATGCCTGCCAAAAGGAGCAATAGCCCCAAGACTGCCCAACAGGCCCCCAACGGATTCATCTCGGCCACAACAGACCCACAAGAGATTTCTTTTTTATCGGCTGCCCTCCATTTAATCAGTAGCGTACGACCCGGCCGCGAAGTCACCTCTCAAGGAACCGCGCTCGTGCAGCTCGGGTATGTGGATGTACGCATTGGTTCCGTGGCCGAGCAGCGTCTGGAGCCTGAGATCCCCGCCGAAGCATCGCGCGGTAAGCCTCGCGAGCGGGAGGCCTAAGCCCAGCGGTAGCTGGCGCGGGCCTCTGCCAGCGTGCCCGGCGCCTGGTGGTGGGTCCTGAGCGTCGCCCTCGCCGTCTGACCACTCGTCGTCTCCAAGGGCGTTTGAGGATGGCGCCAGCATGACGGTGGTGCCCCAGTCCCAGATGCTGGTCTCTGGTCTGATGCCGCCTCCTCGATCAGACGCGGTCACGAATATGCCGAATTGCCCTCTGGTGACCTTGACGCGCACGGGCTCGGGGGCGGCGCCCGTCGTCTCGGCGATCCGCAGCGTCGCCTCCACGGCGTTCCTCATCACCTCCCTCAGCACCACGCGCGAGTGCCCTGTCACGTAGAGGATGGTGGCGGCGTCCGCGATACCCTCCATCTCGACCGGCACCGCGCTGCCACCAGCCGCGCGCGAGGACGCCGAGTCCTGCACCGAGCCCGCCAGGTCCCGGACGAAGCCCTGGGCTCGTGGGCTGCAGCACGCCCACTGTGACGCCCGCGGGCCCCCGGGCGCCGCACGGGCGGGCGCGACCGCCTGCGGGAAGTTGGCGCCCGACATCCGCATTCCCCAAAGAGGGGGGCGTCGAAGAGGGAGGAGGAGGAGGAGGAGGAGGAGGAGGAGGAGGAGGAGGAGGAGGAGGAGGAGGAGGAGGAGGAGGGAGTCGTTGCAAATGCGTCCCCATCCGCGATGAGAGGAAACGGGTCAAGAACGCATCCAACGAGGGCACCAAATCCGGGCTCGTCCTGGCGAGCTGCCGGCAGCCGTGCCCCAGCAAGCGGGTGGCGTGGGTGTTCTCCTCGAGCGCCCGCGCCGGCGCCAGCCAGCAGTGGCCCACCTGCTCCTTGGGAGACGCCTCGCCAAAATCCTAGTGCATCAGATAGGCGCCAGCATACTTTTCATGCATGGAGCGCACGTGGGGATTTGCCAAGACCTCACATGGCAGGAACACGAAGTCACAAAGCCTGTGGGCAATCCGCAGCCGCAACTCGCGGTGCGTGCGCACGGCCGCGGCCAGTGGGTCCCCGCCGCCCGGCGCCCGCAGCTCCGCCAGCGTCAGCTGGTGCACCTGCTCCATCCACAGCCCCCGCACGCGCCGCAGCGAGGCCAGCGTCAGGTGCTGGCGGGCCGGAGGCGCCACCACAGGGAGCACCATGGCGGGCTAGCGGCGCCGCCGCGGGCCCCCCCCCCAGGCAGCACAGATCGCCTCGCTCTCCCCAAAGATACCTCCAAGAGACCCCGAAGCGAGAGGGGCCCACTCGCAAGCCTGGATCAATACGGCGACAATCAGAACACAGGTGTGTGCGTGTGCATATGCACATCTAGATATTCACATGTATGGGAGCGAGCGAGGGAGAGAGAAAGAAGTAAAGAACGAGAGAGAGAGAGGGAGAGAGAGGGATATGTGTGTGTGTGTGTCTGTATGTCCACCCCTACAGTATAATACATCTTGCCTTCTGCGCGCTGCTTCCTACTTTTTTCCTCCTCCGCCTTCCCCCTCAGCTGCTTCCCTTAGGAAGGCACCAACTATACACCAACACCGGTCCTGGCCAGGATGACCCTGGGCCCAGGATCGGTGTATACGCCCTCCTGCCTTGGGCAAGAAGGCATATACACCGATCATGGGCCCAGGGTGATCCTGGGCCAGGATCGGTGTTGGTGTATAGTTGGTGCCCGCCGATCCCTTTCTCTGTCCGCATCGGTATTCTTAGTCCATCTCCGTCGCAACATCCTCGGGAGCCGCAGCGTTCAGCGGAGCCCGCGCCGCTGGTGCCGCTCTCCGCGCCGGCTGTCGAGCACAAGGATCTCACATTCGGTCTAAAGGCGGGGCCGTGTGTTCCGTGAGCCCCAAGAGGCCTTCGTGTCCGCTCGCCCTGGGGTACCAACCCACTTGCTTACGGCAGGTTCGTGTCGTGTCGACCCCGGCGTTGGTTTTTGACACCGCGCTGGATCGTTCAACCTTGAACGATCGGCCGTCTCCGCAACGTCCAATCGTTCAACATCGACCGATTCTCGGCCGCCGTCGGCGTTCAACGTTGAACGTCGGCGGCGGGGTCGCCGCTGGTCGACACGACGCAAACCTACCGTATGCCAATCGATCTGGCTGGGGCGATCATCGGAAACTGCCCTCGCGGTGACGAGGTGGACCGACCGTCCCCCGCACACGAGCCACGCCACCTCGTCTGGGCGGCGACTCGAGGGGCGACGAACCTTTTGCCGATCTCGTGGTCATTTCGTGTGCTCCGTACCTGCGGGAGCGCGGCTCCTCAGCTCCGGTAGCCCAGGGTTGATCGGTCGTCTGGGGAACGACCGTTTCACTTCCTGGTTTCATGGCTCATCTTCGTCCACCTCCTCCTCCTCTTCTGCTTGCCCTCCTCCTCCTCCTCCTCCTTCTCCTCTTCCTGTGTCCAGTCCATCAAGCCTCTCCCTCCTCCTCGTCCAACCCCCTCCATTTTTGTGTTCCTATGTGATGCGCGGGATTGCAAGCGAGATGAGAGAAGGGTGGCACGGGGAAGAGGCGGAGAAGGAGGGGGAGGACGAGGAGGTCCTCCCTATGAGGCCTACAGCTCATGTTACTCATCCGAGCGGGTCATCGGAATCCTTTAGATTTCGTCACGTCTGGCCTCTTCGCTTGCATGTGGGGGAAGTCTCAGGCGGGGCTCTCGTTTGCGAATGAATCGTGGGCAACTTTTCAGCGGGAGCTTTCTGCAGGTGGGGAGAAAGCTTTGGCGCGGTCGCGCTCGCGCCCGGAGAAGGGCGCCCATCCCCAGGGAGCTGGAATCTCCAGCTGGCGTGCCACAGGCACTCACGGGCCACTCCATCGTCGCTATCTGGAGAGGAAGAGGAGGGACAGGAGGGAGAGGAGCAGGAATTCAGGAGGAGCCCACGGCCTCCCGCGGGGTTGTCCCAACGGCTTCGCAACTTTGCCATCGGAAAGCGCGCCCCTGCTGGGCATGGCGGCGAGGGCGCAGAGGAACATCGGCATGCGCGCCCCTGCCAGGAGAAAGGAGAGGTCAATGAGGAGAACGGGCGGGATGGAGATGAGGAGGGGGCGGAGGGGGGGTGTTGGAGGAGGAGGAGGAGGGACACAACGAGGATGAGGAGGAGGAATATGAGGAGGAGCAGGAAAAGGAGGAGGAGGAGGACGAGGAGAAGGAGAACGACTGTAACGAGTAGGACGCAGAGGGCAGGAGGAGCAGGACGCAGAGGGCAGGAGGAGGGCCTCCACCAGTCGAAGAGGAAGAGGGCGAGGGGAAAACTCAACGTGTTCCAAGTGGGGTCCTCCCGTCGTTATTGTTGCTGTTCCTGTGCAGAGCACATGATTTCATGTTGTGTCATGGCCTTACTGGTTTCCGTGCCTCCCAGGGGGGAGGGGGAAGATAGGAAACCCTGATCTGGAGCCCGCCAGAAGAAAGGGATAAGGACACCAACGCCTACATATCTGTATATATATATATACACATAGAGAAGAGAGAGAGAGAGAGAGAGAGAGAGAGAGAAAAAAAAAAAGAGAGAGAGAGAGAGAGAGAGAGCGGCGGAAGAACAATGAGCTCGACGAAGACGAAGAAGAAACTACACGCGAATAGACAACTACAGGGGAACAGGACGGCCCAAAATAGGCCTCCAAAAGCACTCCCAAGAAGGCCCCCCGAGGCAAAAATCATACATTGTTCGTCGGTGTTGGTTGGTTAATTTTAGGGTTCTCCTCTTTTCGGCTTCCCGACGCTCCAAGACGGCGGTCTTCTGGGCGTCCGAAGCCGCCTGGGAGGCTCCAACATCGCCCCACAACCATCCGAAAAGGCTTCCAGGCAGTCCAAGAGAGCCCCAAAACGGCACAACACGGGTCCAAGATGGCCCTCAGAGAGCCCCATGGCGGCCCAAGATGGCCCCAAGACACCCTCCGAAGCATTCCAAATCGTGACCCGGTCGTTCAGGGAGACCGCGGTTGGAGGCAGGGTGGCCAGAGGAAATCCCCAGAGGCCCCCAGAATCCGCCCAGGAGGCCTCCAAAGGCCTTAAGAAAGCCTGAAACAACTTTTGTGAGGCCCCCAGAGGCTCTCCAAGGAGGAACCTCCGCAAAAAAGAGCTGAGGAGGATGGGGAGAATGCGCAGGGTACGGCGAAACTATAAGGAAAAAGAAGCATGGAGGAAGGATAACGAATAACATGATTATAGCGGCGATACCAGAAAAGGCAACCAGGAGTTATCTCTAAATTGTCGTCTTGACCTTCCTGCTATTCCGCCTGCATACCAAACTTCAAGGACGAAGGTGCATGGCGCGAAGCGCCACTGCAGTCTTGTGTGTATATATATACATATATATATATGTATATGTGCGTGTGTGTGTGCAACTGTGTATGTATACATACACGTGCGTAACGCTATCTATACACATGTGCAAATCGATTGCACACCTGTATGGCGCATATTCAGTGAGCGATCTGTACACTAACTTCCGACGTTGTCATTATTCACGAAGTGGGCGTACTAAGAACATCTCGTGCAAACCGCAAGCGGTTCTCACAATACTCTCTGGTGGGCCTACAGACGAAGCGGGACGACTCCTCACTGCTTGAGTCTGTGCGCGACCCTAAACTTCAACACCCTGGGCCACGGAACCGAGAACCCGCGCCACCTGGCTCGACCCCAGGCGGACTTCAGCATCACCGGGCCCAGCCCACCGCCGAGCGCGTCCCCGAGCAGGAATTTCCCGACGCCCAGGGGCGGGGGTTGGGACTCGGTACTTCGATGTCGCGGGCGGAAGGTGTGCTTATCGATTTCGTGGTTAGGCAATGGGCCGCCACGTGGCACAGACTTCCCGCGCCGCCTGGCTCGACCCCCGTGCGGCCTTCAGCATCACCGCGCCCAGCCCTCCGCCGAGCGCGCCCCCGAGCAGGAACTGCCCGAAGCCCATGGGGGCGGCGCGCGACGGCCAGACGCGCGCGCGGGGGCGCGGAGGCCTGGCGTTAGGTCGGGCCTGTCCCCCCAGAAGGGGGGATTTTGGATGACAGATAAAAATTCCCCCCACAAATTCAAGCAAATGTTCAGGCAGAGCCAAAAGCTGGTCCCCGGACTATTGTCTTACTATGTTTGAGCATTCCCCCGTCCGGGAATGCTCAAACATAGTAAAACAATAGTCCGGGGACCAGTTTTTGGCTATGCTTGAACATTTGTTTGAATCTGTTGGGGGAACTTTTATTTGTCATCCAAAATCCCCCTTGTGGGGGGACAGGCCCGACTTCAGCCCGGCGGCGCGCGCGAGGGGAGGGCGCGCGAGAGGGGCGGCCTCCGAAGAGGAGGGGCGGGGCCAAATGGGAGGCGCGAGCGAAGGGGCCCAGGGACACACGCAAGCAGCAATGTGTAAGAAACGGGAGCGGAGGAGGAGAAGGAGGGGGAGGGGGAGGGGGAGGAGGAGGAGGAGGGGGAGGAGGAGGGGGAGGAGGAGGAAGTATACACAACTGCCAGGATCCCCCACCTGTTCCATGTTTTCTAAAAATGGTCGCCTTCCCTCCCACTGCCAGTATTTTCTCGTACGGTTGACTTGTTTCAGGAGTCGAAGGGTTTCTGTGTCTGTGTGTCTCGTCCCCTCCCGATCGAGGGGCTTCTGAGGAGCCCCCGCAGCTTGTGATGGGCCTCCTGAGGTGCCTCGCAGGGCCTTCTACGAAGAGCCCCCGCCCTCTGAGAGGCCCCCATGGGCCCCCTAGCTCGCGCCACCCCCATGTTGAGGGGCAGCGGTAGGGTTAGGTCGGGCCTGTCCCCCTACAGAGGGATTTTGGAGGGGAAAAAAAATACACTCAAAAATACGCAAAACATGCCAAACACATGTTCAAAAATAACCCCAAAATAGTCCCCAGACTATTTTTCACTATTTCTGAATATTCCTCCTGTAGGGGAACATGCCCGACTTAACGGTAGGGGGGGACTGGCTCAGGGTGGGGGGGGGGGACATCGAGCTGGCATCGGCGATGCATCTCTGAAAGATCGCCGACGCGCCCCCGACAACGAAGTCGCGCGTTCCTGGGCGAAGTGGGCTACCGGAGCCACTAACGTCGATGCGTCCCCCCCCTGAGCCCATCTCTCCCTGACGCTGCCCCTGAAGAAGGTACACCACGCGAAATGGTTAAGAAATCATGGGTTAAGAAATTCATGGTCTCAGAACTTGAATACAAACCCAACATTTCTATCAAAATCTTAGGATTGACATTGAAACGTTAAGAATAATCGAGACTCTGGCCGAAAACTTAGGTTTTCTTAAGCATCGCCTAAGGTGTAGGGGGCTTCGGAGAAGCCCTCCCAGCCTCCGAGAGGCCTTCCCAGAGGCCTCCTCGGGACCTTCTTGTCCTGCGCCGCCTGCTGCTGCGCATGAGGAGGAGGAGGAGGAGGAGGAGGAGGAGGAGGAGGAGGAGGAGGAGGAGGAGGAGGAGGAGGAGGAGGAGGAGGAGGAGGAGGTGGGGAGGAGGAGGAGGAGGAGGAGGAGGAGGAGGAGGAGGAGGAGGAGGAGGAGGAGGAGGAGGAGGAGGAGGAGGGGGGGAGGAGGAGGAGGAGGAGAGGAGGAGGAGGAGGAGGAGGAGGAGGAGGAGGAGGAGAAGGAGGAGGAGGAGAAGGAGGAGGAGGAGGCTCTCTGGTTGGCGACACCCCCCTTGTGCGAGCCGCCACGAGGCAGTGAACGGCACCGGCGCCGCTTGCCCTGAGCCTGGGCCGAGCGGGGCGACGCCAGAGGCGCAGCGGCAGCCAGCGCAGAGGACCGTCGCCCTCTGGGCCTCTGGCGGACTGGCTTCTCACGGAGGCGAGCCCATGGGGGGGAGGGAGAGGGCGCGGGCTTCCTCGGAGGGCCGCGGGGCTTCTCGGCAGCCCCAGCGCCTTCCGAGAAGCCGTCCCTGGCTTCGGAGAAGGAAGACAAGGCTTCGGCTTCTGAGATGGCTCGCCCCCTCTCGCTTCCCTCGTGCGCTCGCCGTCGACTCTCGGCCCTGGTACCTGCTCTTCTGCTTCGGCCTCCAGAGGCCGTTGCAGGGCCCCCTGGCTGCCCAAACAAAAGAAAATGCTGGCTGGGTATGGCGACGACGTTTTTAAAGGTGGGCGCTGGCTCTCAACTGCTCGCGCCTTGAGCACGCCGGCTGCTCCAGCGCGTGTTACGCGTGTTACAGAACCCGAGCTTGCGTTCCCCGCGCATGCAAAAACGGACAAATCGCTCCGAGAGCCGCTGGGGAACCTGCTGGGCTGACTGGACGATTGGCGACCCCTGGGGAGCGATCGAGAGATCCACGGGGGACCGCGGCTTGGCACGACAAGTCCGGAAGAGGTCTGGGGAGCCCGAGGAGGTTATCGGAGGCTCTCGGGAGGCTTCGATTTTGTGTTGCCTCTGGAGGTGCTCGGACTCTGCTTGCTCTGTCTTCGGGGACCTCTGGAGGCGTCCGGTAATCCTCCAGGGGGCAAGGTCGGCCTCCAGGGTGTTGCCATCTGTCGTCCCTCACTGCGGCCCTCCCAAGGGATCCGTGTGGCCAGGGCTGAATCCGCCTCGGAATCACAATCAGGAGGCTCCCCAATATTGACGATGATGACGCAGATATGTGACAACTTACTCCTGTATCACAGCAGGGAAACGTGACACAGCTGTTCGGTCGCCCACACATTTGCAAAAACAGGTGAAGGTTTCAGCCGCGTGGCTGGTATCTCAACGGTCTGCATGGACGCGTCCACCCTGCTCATCCCCTTTTGTGGTCTCCTCGTCCACCGCCTCCTCCTCCTCATCCTCCTCGTCCTCACCATGCACCCCCTTCGTCTCTCTTCTTCTTCTTCTTCTTCTTCGTCTTCCTACTCTTCTTTCCTTCTTAGCATTCGTACTCTTCATCTTTTTCATCATCATCGTCCTCCTTCTCTCCCGTACATTCCTCTACGTGATGGGGATGTAAGAGATAACCCAGTCCAGCGGGCCGCAAAGCCCCAGACAAGACTCTGCGCTGGGAGGTGCCGTCTAAGAACGGCAAAGCAATGCGGCCTGATGGCACCCAATCATTCAGCGACAGATCCGGTGCACCAGCCGTTAAAATGACATCGTTTCTGTTGTTCGTGCTGCACCTCCTGTTTACCACACCTCCTTGGCCTCCTTCTCCTCTTCTTATATATCCGCCGATCCGGCGTGTGAGTTTCAAGGAGTCTCAGCTACAGCCTCGAGGCTGAGCTTCAGCCTCTGGGGGGGTCGCCGGGGTGGCTCTGCCGGGGAAGGGGGGGTGGGGGGGGGGGGGGGGGTGCGAGTTTCCGGCGAACCCCGGGGCCGCTCCGGGGGAGTGGAAGATAGGGGGGGGGGGGGCGCCATGCTCCGCTTTTTCCGGCGCTTTGGAGGAGGGGGGGGGCCCAAGAGACCCCCAAGGGGTTCCAAGAGGGCCCCGAGTCGCCGAAAAATCGCTCCAAGACGCCCGAGATGGCCTCCAGACGGCCCAAGGTGTCTCCAAGACGCCCCAAGAAGCTTCCAAGAGGCCTCCCAAGAGGGCCCCAAGAGGCCAGAATCGTTGATTTTCATTGGTTTTCTCAGGGTTTTTAGCGTTCTTGCCTTTTCGGGCGTCCGACGCTCGAAGACGGCCCAAGAGGCCCCCAAGTCCGTCCCAAGACGGCCCACGATGCTTCCAACACGGCCCAAGAGAGCCCCAAGACGGCCCAAGAGGGCCCCAAGACGGCCCAAGAGGGCCTCTGGACAGCCCAAGAAGGCCCCAAGAGAGCCCCAAGAGGGGCCCAAGAGGGGGACCACGAACCGAAAGAACCGAGCTTTCCGCCCCAAGAGGCCCCCAGGAGGCCCCAAGAGACCCCCAAGGGGCCCCAAGAAGCCCACAAGAGGCCCAAAAGAGGTTCCAAGAGGCCCCAAAACAGCTCCCCAGAGGCCTCCAGACTGCCTCCGGCAGGCCCCCGGTTTCTTCCGCGGCACCGCCCAGGGCGCCACCGGCAGGATGTCCTCCGTCTCATCGTTTTCCTTCAAGTTATCGCCTCTTCCTCATTCTCCTCCTCCTCCTCTGCGACCTCACTCCTATCCCTCAACGATCGCGTCACCGAGTGCCTCTTCTTTGAAACATCCTCGCTCTTCAAACGCACATCCATACACACATGCATACATACCTACATTTAAACACATTTGCATACATAGAAAAACAATCTTCCAGACATACATACTTACATTCACACACATACACACATATTATCATACACACATACAAACATACATACAAACTAAATACATACATACGCGCACAAGCATACATACATACATACGTACCTACACACAGGCACACATGATCAATGCATGCATACATGCATGCACGCGTACATACACACACATATATCGTGAAACTCACCGCGTGCTCGAAACTTGAGAGAGACCGCGGGAAGTCGAGAGAAGCCGCGGAACGAGGCCTCTACTACTACTACCACTACTACCACAACCACTACTACTACTACTACTACCACTACTACTACTACTACTACTACTACTACTGCTACTACTACTACTACTACTACTACTAACTAATACTACTACTAGTACTACAGGAGCGTTTCCCAACTAGTATGTGTGTGTGGGTGATGCTGTGTGCGCATGTCTGCGGCGCAGGTTAAGTGGTGTGACTGTGTGTGTGCGTTTGAGTGTGCGCCCATAATTTCTGCGTCTGGAGAATAACCCCGAGCGACCCGGATCGGCGGCACTGGCCGAAGGCCACTACAATATATATATTATCTTATGTTTCTTTTTCCTCCTCCTCCTCCTCCTCCTCCCATCTTCTTTCGGCTGACCCTAAGCCTTCCCCTCTACTGCTCATCCTCATTATCCTGTTCTTCCTCAAGCTGGTATCCTTTCCTGGTCCTCATCCTGATCACTCCCCTACTGCTTCTGCTGCCTCATCCTTCTCCTCCTAGTCCTCCTCCTCCTCCTCCCATATATTCCTGCTCCTCTTGCTGCTGATGTTGCTCCTCCGTCTCCTCCGCGAGAGCATCGAGCAGAGGCCGAGGATGGCTTCCCTCGATGCCATGATCCAGCACGACAAGCGCTCCAATCAGGCAGTGATTGTGGGTGGTGGCGGAAGTCTTGCACCAGACGTGGTGGTGATGATTTCCTCTTGGGATCCTCGTGGAATCGTGTGGTCGATCTATGTGATTTCACCGTACATGATTCGGTCAGGCATCTCCTCCTACGGGCGGGCTTTGGAAGACAGAAAAACACACATAATAATCCGAAATGATAGAAAGAGCACGAACAATCGTGACCAGACCATGTTTACGATTCTTGACTATTCATCCTGTGGAGGGTCAAGCCCGACTTGAGTCCATGACCATCTGCGCGCTCGCCCTCCACCTCCGTCCCGTCCCCCCGACGGCGACGGCGATCGCTGCCGCGGAAGCCCCCCCTCCTACGCACGTAACCTGGAGCGCGTCCGGACCAGAATTTCGAGGTAGAACTGGCTGGCCGTGGCCACGAGGATGCCCAGGGGACCCCGCCAAAACCGACATAATTTGGTGAAGATCACAAGGCTCTGAACCCCAATGTCCGACTCAGGATGTTTGTCGATGGGGGACATTTCCCGAACAGTGCTTTCGCTTAGTGGTTCTTATCCCTGGTCTAAGGAACTGGGCCTGAATGTCGGTCTGGCGGCTATGTTGTCGCCGTCGCCGTCCATCGTCTGGGCCTGAATGCCGGTCTGGCGGCTATGCTGTCGCCGTCACCACCCCGTCGCCACCTCGTCGCCGCCCGTCGTCTGGGCCTGATTGCCGGTCTGGCGGCTATGTTGTCGCCTGCACCGACCCGTCGAGGCCTCGTCGCAACTTTGCGACAATTTACACTGAATTGTTTTGCTGTGCGTTGCTTTGCGTTGCGTTGGCAAGGATCGCACCACATATAACGCATCGCAAATATTGCGCAGCATGTATTGCACAACGTAGTTGGCAACACGTAGATTCTCCTTTCTAAAAGGAGAATAGACTCTACCCCCACCCCCCGGAGCTAACGGTTCCCATTGTCGTATTGCAATTTACATGTGATTCTGCCCCATCGTCCATCTTAAACATGAATTCATACTATCCCAGCCAGGCCAGTATCACTCCCCCCCCGCCATCCTCGTCAAACAAATCCTATGCGCGCGATGTCGTTTATCAGAAATCACAAGTTTTCAAGAATCCCTTGCAACAAATGGGACGACGTGCACACGCGCGCGTCGTCGCGCGCGCATGCCGAAATCCTTCAAGAATCTTCGGTTTCGGAAGGATTTCAAACTCGAGTTTCCAAACAACATACAAAAACACATGGCTTCGCAACACTGATTGTCTAAAAAACTTACGAGCGCGCTCGTGCGAAATCTGAATAATAACAGGTTGCCAACATCTTACGCGCTCTTGCAAAATATTACGCTCTTTACTCTTTAAGATTTCCAAGCAAAATACTACCAAACGGGCTTCGCGCGCGCATGTCGAAATCTTTCGAACGCCATTGCGCGCGTGCCGTCGCGAGAATCCTCTGCAACAAATGGGACGAAGTGCCGACGCGCTCGTCGTCGCGCGCGCATGCCAAAATCCTTCAACAACCTTCGGTCTCGGAGGGATTTCAGAATCGTGTGTAACAAAGAAAAACACAAGGCTTCGCAACACAGATTTTCAACAAAAGCGTAAGCGAGCTCTTGCGTCGTCGTCGTCGCCGTCCTCCCTCCTCCCTCGTCGTCGTCGTG